TGTCGGTTACCACCTAACCACTGCCATATGGATTGCAAAAAAGATCAAGATGAGAAAAAAAATAACTGCCTATTCCTTTTGAGTTTACTCAATGTTACATAGAACAAGGAGAAAGGATTACCTGGGTCAACAGAACGACACGAGTAAAACTGGAATAGCTCACACACAACTTATAATATTTAACTGTGGCTGGAAATGTTACGTCTATGGAGGCTGTGCATTAGTGGTATTGCATGAATGAGTTCCATTTAATTAAGATCAAAGCCCTAAACTCTTGAACCACATCACCTTCTGCAGGTAAGGACTGAGGGAGCTTGCTCCGTTTATGCATTGCCATCAAAGGCGCCCTCTTAAGAGCTTAAAAAATTGAAGGGGAGGATATGGAAATAGCCACTATCTAGGTTTCTGTAGTGACCAGATAGCGAGATGTTCATTATGGGCTCGTGAGAAAATATTAATGGTAAGCTTGTAAGCATCTCACGTGCTGCCTGATTTTCTACAACCATAACAGTTGCGTTGAAGGGTGATAACGAAATTGTAACAGTCGAGACTACTTATGATGGACGTCCTTGAAGAAAATATATCAATCACATGTTTTAATAAGATTGAGCGCCCGTAATCCTTACTTGATACACACTGTTGCCTGCCATTTTGATCAAGTATCTGGATACCTACCATTGGTATATCTCTAGAGAAACGCCTGAAACTTACCACTGTGTGCAGTACCGTTACGATATCACATTTTTTTGTAACTGAAATCGCAAAATCTCGACCTGCAAGTGCAAATTTTCATGCACAATTGAAAGGCAAACAACACATTGGGATGCCCAAAACCCACCTTAGCTCCTCCAAAGAAGAAATAGTCGATAATGAAGACTGCACATCGAAAGGGCGCGACGCTGAAAGTAGAGATGCAATGATTAGTCAACAGGAAAGGACTTGAGTGTCTGCACACTAGTCGAGAATGGTTAGCCTTATCTTAACGCAGCCAAATGTTCGGGATGTTTTTGACTTCCCTCAAAAATAAAAGTGGAATGCAATCGAGGCACATGTGCTTACAGAATTAAAGTAGAGACAAAGCTCTGTCAGGACCCTTTCGAACAATGCGAAACAATGACTAGAAAGTCAGAAACGGCACAAAGATGGAAAGAGGAGCCTTAATTAAAATAAATTACAGAATGTGTGTATGAGCCTTATCCAGAGAGCAGGTGAAAGGTGGAGGGGTGAAGAAATGAAGGAGTGAGACGAATACGTGCAAGCCATAGAGAGAGAGAAATTGAATAAACGATTACAGACATTAGGTGAATGGCTAGGAAGCGGTGGTACACCAATAGCGATGAAACAAGTTTGTCATCAAACCACCTCCTCCCTTTCAGTTTTATCTTCCGACACAACAGTCAAATCAACCGCCATCTGCATTACGACGCCGAGAGTCAATTATGAAGAATTTAGAGCCAGTGGTAACTCCAAAAATATAAGTAGCGTGTCAAGTGACAAGCTCGTTCACAGAATTGTGAGCATGTGATCGTCCATGAGCAACTCGACTTTTACATTGCTCGAAAAACGTGCTGACGTCAGACGTGAATTGACAGAAGCATTGAAATTTCAGTTGAAGGATGAAAGTCTCAAGGGTAACACTAGCTTGGCACACGTGTTGCACTTTTTTGGAAAGTGAAGTGTGATAACGCTTGATCCCTTACTGGGCGAAAAGAAAAAAGAATGCAAAAGTTGAGACAAGAGTCGGCCACAGATATACTTGTTTCTGCCAAGGGATGATGGGAAGAGGGACAAACTTAATATTATCAAGAACAATTAGATTGAGAGACTCAGATCACGGTAAGCGATGCGGTTGGAATTACAACCAAACTCATAAAAGGTTTCCAATTTTGAAAAAGAAGATCTTATAAGAGCAGATGCAGAGGGAGAAGATACCAAGAGAGCGCTAATGAGCAAAAAAACGGTTACGCTCCTCCACAACCAAGTCGTTTATGCTCCATGGATCCATGATAATATAGAAAGGATAAGAATGAAGGCATAAAATAACTAATTTACTGTGCAAACTGACTTTAGAAAGAGCGTGAGAAACCACGAAAAGGTGACGAGGTTAACCAACTCCACCCCACTATTGTTGTTCAGTGAATCGGTGGTGGACCTGGTACCAGCACGTTCAAACAGCGACGTCACTGAGGAGCTGAAGTATTCCACACCCTTAGATGCCGATGGTAGTGAAAGTAGGGAAGCGGGACTGGAACGAGTGAAGATGGCGGGTAGGTGTTGAGAGGCCAACTGGTACAGCACAGCCTGGTCCACTCGCACTCCCACCACCTGACTGTCGTAGTAGTCAGGCAGAAGGCGCTCGCAAATGGCTGCCAAGAGCCAGAAGGCCTCTTCTTCAGAACAGTAAAGAAGTAGAATACCCGTCACGATGTTCATTGCCTGACAATAGCCTTCAATGGACAAAGAGTAAATGATTTCGATTTCATACACTTACACTGTAAGGCTTTCCAGTACTCTGTAAAAGTGACAATAATAACTTCTTAAGTCTACTTCCTGTTTATACTTTTGTCAGATTTATGTACACTATACATCAGCATACCAATGATACATGACGATTCTACTAGTTGATACATTCGAATGGCACAATGGCGGCATAAAGCTCTGCTGGCGTTGCTGCTTTGCACCTAGTTCACCTCCTCAGCTGGTTTAGCTGAATAGCGAATGAAGCTGAAACTAAATGAACCTCAAATGCGAGAGGTTGTGGAGCAATACCAGATCATCTACCATAGCAAGTAGAATGAAGTATCTCTTGAAAGACAGCTCGCGGTAGCAGAGCAATGAGTGAAACACGGG